GATGGCAGCTTTTAGTAAACACCAGGGAATTCACCTCGCTCCAGCCCAACCTGGGGCCGGCTCTGAGGGTAGGATGGAGGGTCTGTGGGACACTGTGATTAGGGAAGGAGGTGGATCTGGGGATTCCAGCCCCACCTAGGGCTCAGTGCAGGGCTGAGCACCTGGCATGGGCGTTAGTTAGTGGTTTCATGGCTGTGGTCCAGGGAGGGGAAGATGGCCCTGTATCGGGTGGACGTTTCCTCCTTGCCCCTGTCCAGAAGCCTCAGTTAGGGCCATCTCCTTATTCCTCCTTGCCCCAGGAAGAAAGTTGATTCTTCAGCCTCTGAATGCAACATCAGGGAGCCCAATTTAACTCCTGAGCTTTTTTTATTAAAAATAAGGCTGGCATGGAGCAGGCCTCGGTAAATACATACTGAATGAGGAAGGCCGTGGGCAGTGTTTCTCATTCATTCTAGGTCTCTCTATAATCATCTACATTTGGCTAAATGTACCAGCCCCAATGCCCTATGAGCTGCCCTTTCCACATCACCATACGGTGGCAGGCATGCTATCTGTCCCCACCAGTCATTGACCTGTGACCAGACAGCCAGACTAAGCCAGAAGAAACATGGAGACGCCTGTCATGTGTTATTTATATATCTATGAGTGTAGTCTTGCCAGGCAGGGAGAATGTGAAAAAAAAAAAGAATAGAATAGTAAACACATTGGTTAATTTTATCCAATTAGGAGGTGGGAGTAGGGAGCAGGCATAGAGAATTAGGTTGTGTAACTTGGATCCGAGATGGTGGGTTGAGGGAGCAGCCCAACTGAAGGACATAGGCTAACAAAAAGGGCACTGTGTGTCCGTCAGCAACACAGCACAATCATACTTTATATTTTGGCAAAACAACAAAAAAAGCTGACCTCATCTCATTCCACTGAGATAGAAACTCCAACCTGTTCTGGATGACCCAAGTTACCTGCAATGGTACAATTCTCTTCTCCTTGGTAAGTGGCTTTTAAGCCCAGGAAGATTCGAATTGAAAAAACAGAGATGAAATAAACAACAAAATGAAGTATTTGTACATTTGTGTTAAGAATAAGTTGGGTCAAGTTCTGTGTGTTGATGTGTGAAGTCCTATATTTTGGGATGTTTACAAGCATGTGGCCACTAGAGATTCTCATGAATGTGATCGAGTAAGTAACTTTAGTTGAAATTTTAAGTTGAACATTTTAGGAGAATTAGACAATGTCTGTAAATGTTATTAGAACAGTTTAGAGAACTTAATGTTCACTTTGTTTATAAGTTAGATTTTTAGATCTAAAGCATTCTTTGAAATCTTTGGGAAGGTTTTGTTTCTTAGAGGTATTTGAAGCGCTTATAAGAAAATCAAATTTATTAAATTTGTCAATGTAGCTTAGGTTATCTAAGGCGGTGCTGTCCCATATAAGTATAATGTGAGCTATATGTGTCATTTAAAAATTCTCGGTAGCCACATTTTAAAAAAGAATGGGTCAACTCAATTGTAATAACAAAACATTTTTAACCCAACATATTCAAAATATTATCATCTCAACATGTAATTTATGTAAAAGTTATTATTTTACATTTTTTTTTCGAACACATCTTTAAGATCTGCTGTGTACTTTACGTTTCCAACACACCTCAACTCAGTCAACTGCATTTCCAACATACATTCTGGTGGCTACTGTATCGAACAACACAAATCGAAGGAAATTTAATCAGCCGCATTTGTAAGTGGTATTTATTATTTAAGGAAGCTTATACCCTGTTCACCCTGATTTGCTGAAATATTAGTCAAAGATTCCTGAGAGCCATTGTTAAGAATGACTGGACTTTTAAATAAAATGAGAGTTGTGTACTGAACTTACAAGATAAAGAAAAAATAGATTTTTAAAATGTGTTAATGTAAGAAACCACATGGGTCTTTGAAGATAACCACAAATAGCCTTTTCAAATCAGCCCCCGAGGACCTCACCTGCCACAGTCCACGTAGAACTAGCGTCATCGACCTCGGCACTGCCGTGGCGAGAAAGGCCTGGTTTTTTGTTATTGTGTCGCACACAGAGTGTCAAGATCTGACCGAGCTCTTAGGGATTGTCTGCCCAAAGCTCCCCATTGCACTCACAGGAAAACTGAGGTCCGGAGAGAGAAGGAACACAGTGACCCAGAGGCAGGGCCCGGGCAATATCTCCAATCTCCTGTCCCACCCCACCCTCCCCAGTCAAGGGCTTCTAGTTCATTCTTTCCGCCTCTTCATCCCCAGTTCACCAAGACACTGAGGCACAGAACTGGAGGGTAGGTGGACAAACTGGTCTTAGACCCACGCCTCCAGAGAGCACCAGCTGAGAGCTGAAAGCATGGCTCTTTAGGCCCCGGTCTCTGCCCTGGTCGATCAAGCACAAACCAAGGCCTGACGAGAAGCTGACCCAGAGAAGCCTGGGCAGAGAAGTAGCTGTGTGAGGCCCAGGATGGAGCCGAGACCTGGGGAAAGGGGAGCAGAAGAAGGGAGTCCTGTCCTGCACCCACTGCCACAGCCAGGTCTGCCTGGGCCCAAGAGGGCCCGACGCCAGCCTCCGATGGTCCCAGGGTTTAGCCTGGTAACCCCACCTTTCTTCACACACCGCTCTTGGGGTGAAGGCCCTGGAACTTCCTCATGGGCCTCATTTTCCTAGCTCCCTTTCCTCCCTCTTCTCCTTCGATTTTTCTTTTCTTTTTTTCTCCTTGGACGCCCTAATCTCCTTTCCCCAACTTGGTCTGCCCAATACACTATTTGGCCAAGGAGAGCCCTGCAGATCTGGGTCCACGGGGCCCGCTGGGTTTTCGGCCTGCTGGACCACAGCGGAGGGGAAGAACCACTCAGGTAGGCCCCAC